CTATATAGACTGCTCAACTTTATTACACCAGAAAAATATTTTAAGTCAATTAATTTTTGTTCTCAATAAAATAAATACACATCGACACATACCACCTATTCATCGACTATAAAGCCGTATTCGACAGCCCTATCCGTTTAGAGGTGTATAAAGCCATGTCTGCGTTTGGTATTCCTGCAAAATTAATTCGGCTATGCTGGATAACTTTAACAGGCACAATATCAGCAGTTTAAGTCGGAAAGGACTTGTCGGAGCCCTTTCATACCGAACGAGGATTCATCAAGGATGGTATCAACGCGCAAGACGTCCAGTAGACTCGGACCAACTGTGGAAATTGCCAGTACCAACCTTGGTACTGCCATAAATAAAAGGAATGACATCAGTTTTGAAATTCGGAGAAGGATAGTGATGGCCAACCGATGCTACTATGATCTAAGTAAAACAACTCAAAAGCAAGGCCACCTCCCGCCAGACCAACTCACACTCTACAAGATGCTGATACTACGCGTGCTGTTATACGGATCTGAAGCATGGGTACTTACCCAAGCAGATGAGGCAGATCTTGGGGTGTTTGTGTGAGAAAAAATCTCCGATAGATCTATGGACCGATCTGCGTTGACGGTGAATATCGCCGTCGAATGAACCATGAGTTGTACCAGCTATTCTCGGACATCGAGATTGTTAGACGTATTGAGCTGCAGAGGCTACGTTGGCTAGGTCATGTTGTGAGAATGGATGAAGATGCCCCAGCCCAGAAGACATATAAAAACGAACCAGTTGATGGTTCACGGAAAAGGGGAAGGCCAAGAATACATTGGAAAGATCAAGTCGAAGACAATATCGCCGAAATGGTATTTCAAATTGGAAAAACTGCGCAAAAGACCGACGAGCCTGGAAATCTTTTCTATGCTCGGCTTATGGAACGAAAGTTCTCTCACAAGCCAGCTAAGTAAGTACAGTATTTTTCGGTTAATTGACCCTACGGTTAATTGGTTTCCACGCTTAATTGAACCACATGATGGGTCAAAAATATTTCATTTCATAGTAAGCGGGTTCGGATAATTGGTTGCTCGGTTAATTGAACAAAAATTTGTGCAAATTTTGATGTGCAATTAACCGAAAAATACTGTAATGGGTAAATATTGTTTTTAATAACTGCACCTGTGTTTCGTCTGAAAAATATTTTTAAATATTCCACTCCACTTAAAAATCGTCCCCTGGCTGCTGTGTAGAAAAATATTTTCTAATGAATATATTTTTCTTAAAACTAATTAATTTTTGTTCTCAATAAAAAAAAACTTCCGACCATATCACCACTAACCTAATTTCCTTTCATATCCACTCTTTAAACACCATTGCCATTATTGCCCTCTACTTCCATAAACTCCTAATGGTAGTTTTGAGGTTATGTATATTATCTTGAAGTTTTGAATATAAATGACAATTGTTATGCTTTAACTTCATGTGACACATGCAATCGCTTTCTTTCTTTCACTGAACTTTCCCTCTTTGTGTTTTTGCTAGAAATCATTTTCTACAGGATATGTGTGTCCTCTATCATGTAACAAATACTTTATGTTATGTTCCACTGACTGACTAGCTGCATGACTGAGTGAATGACTGGCTGACTAGAACCTTAACCTCTCCTCTACCTCTACCGAAAATAGAAAGAACATAGGGGTTTTAAAGTTACTCTCTCGCACAAAAACCACAAAGTAGAAAACTTTTCAAGTTATTTCAATACAAAGTGCAAGTAATACATCATACACATACTTTCATATAAAGAAAGGACTTCAGAGGGGAAAAATGCAAAAATGACAAGCATGTTACTGCATGTAGACGTACTCTGGTATACCCATAAATAAACTCTACTTCAGATACACCCTTTGTGGCGTGCATATCAAAAAGAAAAGGAATTTATAGTGTTCTTCTATCGTGTGTAATGTTCTAAGATATTTGCAGAGGGAGACAGTGGCCGAGAGATGGAGGTATGAAAGTGCGGAGCAGAATGTTTAAAAAAAACAATCAATTTTTGTTCTCAATAAAATTTGCCAACTAATTTCCCATCAAACTTCTTTTTAAACCATTTGGAGCTTAAAAATATTTTTTTATAAGTCCACGCCTTGTGTGGAAACTTAAATATATGTTTTTATAAATCCACGCCTTGTGTGGAAGCTTAAAAATAGGTTTTTATAAATCCACGCCTTGTGTGGGAGTTTAAATTAAATTATCTTTGGCCCCGCCACCGTTGGAAAATTCAGCCTCCATGAAGCAAAAACATCGTAGTTAGAAGCACCAGATTTAAGCATCTCGATATACACAAGACCACTTGGATTTCTCCCGATCGTACAACGAGAAATCAAATCGATCCAGTGTTTTCGACGTCGGATCGATCCGAGGAGCGAATATCGATTCGGACCATTACCTTGTGGTAGCCAAGGTACGCACCCGTCTTAATGTAGCAGCAAAGGTGCGATCTAACACAACACGGAAACTCGACGTCGAAAAGGTGCAAACACAACAGGTAGCCAAGGCCTACTCCGCTCAACTTACCCAACTGCTTGACGAAAGCTCCCTCTTGTCCCGATAATAATTTAGAAGCACAGTGGCAGAGAATTGCCCACTCCCTACAAACTGCAGCAAAAGCAACCCAACCATCAAGAAATCCTTGGTACGATCAGGAGTGTCGTAATGCTACTGATATGAAAAACGCAGCGTATGCCCTATAAACCTGCGGACAGTAGTAAGACGTAATGCGATAGAGAGAAAGGAGAGAGGAGAAACGTATTTTCAGAAGAAAGAGATAAAAAAACGTGAGCGTGAGTAAATCGAGATGTGCAGGCGTCAGAATGATGTCCGAAAATTCTACCAACGGGTAAAACACCAAACCGAAGCCTTTGGTGCAGGCACATCCTCCTGGAGAGAAGGAAGAAGGAAACCTGGTAACAGATACAGACAGCGTGCTGAGGATCTGGAAGAAGCATTTTGAAAAACTTCTGGTATAAAATAGTAGCGGTGAAGAGGATACCCCAGAACCAATAAAAGATGACGGTATAGAGTGTGGTATACACTAAAATGAAGTCAGAATAGCAATAAATCGGCTAAAGAATAATAAAGCAGCAGGTGCCGATGGGTTACAAGCCGAACTATTCAAGATTAGTGGTCAGATGCTGGTAAGGGGCATGCACCAGCTGATTAGTACAATTTGGCTAGAAGAATGCATAACCAATGATTGGAACCTCAGCATCTTGTGTCCCGTGCACAAAAAAGCAGACAAGACGATATGTGCCAACTATAGAGGAATAAGTCTCCTTCCCATCGCATATAAAGTGCTATCCAGCGTACTGTGTGAACGATTGAAGCCAATGGTCAATGGTATTATTGGACCATACCAATGCGGTTTCAGATCTGGCAAATCCACTATTGACCAGATTTTCAATCTGCGCCATATCCTAGAAAAACCCACGAAAAACACATCGACACATTCCACCTATTCGTCGACTACAAAGCCACATTTGACAGCCCTATCCGTTCAGAGGTGTATAAAGCCATGTCTGAGTTTGGAATTTCTGCAAAATTAATACGGCTATGCAGGATAACATTAAGTGGCACAAGGTCAGCAGTTAAAGTCGGAAAGGACCTCTCGGAGCCCTTTAATACCGAACGAGGATTCAGACAAGGTGACAGTTTGTCGTGTGATCTTTTTAACATCCTGCTGGAAAAGGTCATACGAGAGGCAAAAGTGAACAGAAATGACACTCTGTACACCAAACTACACATGTTACTTGCCTACGCCGATGACATCGACATAGTGGTTCGAACACTGAGAGCGGTAACAGGCTGTCAAAGTGGGTCTGGCAGTAAACGGCGAGAAGACCAAGCTGATGGTATCAGCGCGCAAGACGTCCAGTAGACTCGGACCAATTGTTGAACATGAGAACTGCAGCTTCGAGGCAGTCAAAGATTTTATATACCTTGGTGCCATCTACAAAACGAATGACATCAGTTTTAAAATTCGGAGAAGGATAGTCATGGCCAATCGGTGCTACTATGGTCTGAGCAAACAACTCAAAAGCAAGGCCACCTCCCGCCAGACCAAACTCATACTCTACAAGACGTTGATACTACCCGTGCTGTTATATGGATCTGAAGCTTGGGTACTTGCGCAAGCAGATGAGGCAGCTCTTGGAGTGTTTGAGAGAAAAATTCTCTATGGGCCGATCTGCGTTGACGGTGAATATCGCCGTCGAATGAACCATGAGTTGTACCAGCTATTCTCGGACATCGACATTGTTAAACGTATTGAGGTGCAGGGACTACCTTGGCTAGGTCATGTTGTAAGAATGGATGAAGATGCCCCAGCCCAGAAGGCATATAAAAGCGAACCAGCTGATGGTTCACGCAGAAGGGAAAAAGCCACGAATAAGATGGAAAGACCAAGTGGAAGACAACATTGTCGAATATGGTTTTTTAAATTGGAAAAACTGCGCAAATGTCCGACGCGCCTGGAAATCTTTTTAAGTTCGGTTTATGGAACGAAAGTTCTGTCACAAGCCAGCTAAGTAAGTAATTAATTTTTGTTCTCAATAAAATATTTTCATTAAAAATCCATGCCTTGTAAGACATTCCTAAATTTCTCTACCCTTCCATACTTCCATGTGGTTACTACTATCCTTTGATAACAAAGTAACCTTCTCGGGAATCTGCAAGTAGTTCCAAGTGCTACTGTCATAAGTGATGGCACTTCGTTTTCGAATAGAAACGAAAATAATAAACTTTGTTGTAAGAAGTGGTAGCCAAGTAATACCAGCAGGATCTTCTTGACATAACAACATGCAAAGTGGAATGTGAAAAACGGTGCAGGATAAACACACACACTGAGGATGGGAAGGGACTTGAAACAATAAATGATTTTTCCACACCATTTATTAGCAAAGATGAACATCGAAACAAAAATATATTCAGGATTTTATTTCATCGATGGCTTCCTGAGGATAATTTTATTTTAGTGAAGTTTTATTTTTGTTGCTGCTGCCCTCCTCCCTCTCGGCCATTTCCTTTACATCCGCTGGGCGACAATGACAGTTACCATGTAATAAACTCCACCATGATTTGATTTCCTTCAGGAAGTGTTCCACATTTTCCGGATGTTGAAATATATTCGGATCCACTTCGAAATTGCCGTCGCTAATGATTTGCCATTTTTTCATGCTGCGGACAATGTCGCCACAAAATGTGGATGGTTCGGGTCGGCAAATACCGCGATATTGTTGGGAGAATTCTGAGGAAAGACAAGAACGTGGAAAAGTAAAATGAAAGAAAAAAGGGGAGGAAGAAAAGTAAAATGAAATAAAAAGAAAAAAGAGGAAGAAGAGTAAAATGAAATAAAAAGAAAAAATTACCCTCCACTCACTTGATTTGAGTTTTGTATTCCGCAATCTAGGATCCTGCCGATTGGCCGCTTCCTCATACATCCTTAGAATTTTATTCATCTTACGATCGGCATCCTTTTCATTATACAAGGGTAGGCATTTGACCCTGCAGGAATTGTGAAGGTTAGGACCCGAAAATGGTACACGTGTACCATGTGCAGATTTTTCGAATTGTTTGCGACCCTCTTTAATTTGTTGCTGTCTGAAATCATGGGCCTTGCGTACCCGCTCGGTGCAGGTCTTGAAGGTCATGGAGGCCAAAAGGGCCTCCACTTTGGAGAAGGCACTGGAAATTCAGGAGGAATTAAAAAAACTGTTTCAAAATTCCCAAGAATACCTACCTTGAATTCCTTAGCGAATAGACACCCGGTATTTGATGGGTCCTCAGCAAATGATGTAGCTTAAAGGCCACACAATGTAGCAGATCCTCCCCAGCTAGTAACTGTAAACGCACCAACTTCGTGTGATCATGTATATGTTCGCGGACCCACCAACCACGCCATAGGGCTTGGATTTTCTGAGCGGATTTGAAATAATGTTCCTCAATACGTTGCTGGACTAAGGCTTCTAGTTTGCGATAATATAGACGGCAGGCATGGAAGCGACGCCATTCTTTTTGTATAATTATCGAGGCCCACTTTAGGCGTTTGTAGCGCGATCGGTCCAGCCATCCACGTACGAAACGTTGAATTGAGCGGGCAGCTTTGAATTGTAGATAATCCAAGAGCAGGAGAGATGTCCGTGACAACATGGCCTCAAGTTTGTGGGATGATTCCTCTTCACGATGTTCAGGTTCGTAGTCGAGGGTCTCATTGCCTTGACTATGAACTCCCGAAGAGATTTCTTCGAGTTTCAGGGATTTCATGGAGGTTCTGAGGGAGGCTTTTTGCTTTGAATCATTTGAAAGGGTTAGGGATTTCAGGCTGGATTTGCGGGTCCGTTTTGGTGGCATTTTTTCAAAAATGTAGGAGGAGGATACTAATTTTCTTCAATTAAAAAAATATTGAGGAATAAAAGACACACTGTGAGAAATGTTTTTGTATTTTATATAGGGGAAGAATTAAAAAAAATATTTTCTAAGGTCCCATACAAGACGTGGATTTTTAAGGCCTACTATAAGGCGTGCATTTTAAAACCTATTTTTGAAGGTTCCCCCCACCTCTCTTCTTTTTTGTTTGTCATTTCGTTAAAGCGGAATCGACTTTCCCCAAATATGTATGCACATACCTCTCCACCAATAGATATGCCATTCCGCCTGTCATAAAAACATATACACCAAACATTCAAGGTTTATGACACTACCAGCTTATCAGTTCCTCAGTCTGATACGACAAATTCCATATTCAATGACGTATGTATGTTATTCCGCTTGCAATTATTGCCAAATAGATAAAGAGACATGTATAGTCGAAGAAAAGTAGACTAAGTACATTATCTGACATTTTTCATGGGGTTAAGTTCATTCAGCCTTGCTGAATTATGATTTCTATAGGAAATCTTTAATTCAGCCCAGCTGAATTATAATTTCTATGCGAAATCTTCAATTCAGCCTGGCTGAAGTATGATTTCTATAGGAAATCTTCAATTCAGCCCAGCTGAATTATAATTTCTATGCGAAATCTTGAATTCAGCCTGGCTGAATTAGGATTTCTATAGGAAATCTTCAATTCAGCCCAGCTGAATTTTGATTTCTATAGGAAATCTTCAATTCAGCCCAGCTGAATTATGATTTCTATAGGAAATCTTCAATTCAGCCCAGCTGAATTATGATTTCTATAGCAAATCTTCAATTCAGCCCAGTTGAATTGAAGTTTCCATCGAAAATCTTTAATTCAGCATAGCTGAATTTGATTGAGACACTTTATAACCATAAAATATTGCATACTTTATGGCTTAGAGGTAATTCAGAATTTTATTGCCATTATTTTTAGCATTTATATTGTTGTTATCCATACACTTTATGACATATTCAGTTAATCAACAATTAAATATTGTCTAGGCCAATATTATAGTATGTTTATGGTGGTATCATTTATGTGGTCTCATACATTCATTGATTGATTTATTATCATATCTACAAATATTTTTTTCTGCCCTACTAATCACCAATGACGATATTAAAAAATGTATATTTCTAACTGATTTTTTTAAAATAATTTTCCGAGAGCTTGTACTAACATAAGAACAGCACCTGATCAGGGTAAAAATTAAATGACTAAGTTTTTTTTATCGAACATCTAACATAAATGTTATTAAATGCGATATTGCAATCACAGCCACTGACGTTAAATATGAAACAATAATAAAATAAGACCATGTAGGAAGATTTTAGATAAAAAATAACCAATTCAGCTAAGCTAAATTGAAAATTTCCTAAAGAAATCCTCATTCAGCCAGGCTGAATTGAAGATTTCCTATAGAAATCCTAATTCAGCCAGGCTGAATTGAAGATTTCCTATAGAAATCCTATTTCTGCCGGGCTGAATTGAAGATTTCCTATAGAAGTCCTAATTCAGCCAGGCTGTATTGAAGATTTCCTATAGAAATCCTAATTCAGCCAGGCTGAATTGAAGATTTCCTAAAGAAATCCTCATTCAGCCAGGCTGAATTGAAGATTTCCTATAGAAATCCTAATTCAGCCAGGCTGAATTGAAGATTTCCTATAGAAATCCTATTTCTGCCGGGCTGAATTGAAGATTTCCTATAGAAGTCCTAATTCAGCCAGGCTGTATTGAAGATTTCCTATAGAAATCCTAATTCAGCCAGGCTGAATTGAAGATTTCCTATAGAAATCCTAATTCAGCCAGGCTGAATTGAAGATTTCCTATAGAAATCCTAATTCAGCCAGGCTGAATTGAAGATTTCCTATAGAAATCCTAATTCAGCCAGGCTGAATTGAAGATTTCCTATAGAAATCCTAATTCAGCCAGGCTGAATTGAAGATTTCCTATAGAAATCCTAATTCAGCCAGGCTGAATTGAAGATTTCCTATAGAAACAGTAATTCAGGAAGGCTGAATTGAAGATTTCCTATAGAAGCCGTAATTCAGCCAGGCTGAATTGAAGATTTCCTATAGAAAACCTAATTCAGCCAGGCTAAATTGAAGAGTTCCTATAGAAATCCTAATTCAGCCAGGATGAATTGAAGATTTCCTATAGAAATCCCTATTCAGCCAGGCTGAATTGAAGATTTCCTATAGAAATCCTTATTCAGCTAGGCTGAATTGAAGATTTCGTAACAAAATAAAACTTAGAAAATTTCCCGAACGATTGGTGCAAAAATTTTGAAAATCCGTTAAGTATTTGCTGAGTTATTAGCATTTGAAATGAACGATGTTCCGAAACACCCCCTACTAATCGGTGCTGAGCTCCTGTTACCAAAAAATTAAAAACCAAGCAAAAATGGATGTTTTTTAGATGGTAATTTTTTCTTTTCTAGTGACTGCTGGTTTGTAAAGAAAATTATAGCATACTTTTAGGCCAGCACACGATTTGTCATTTTTGTGACTGTGGCGCCATCTATTGGCGCAATAGATCGAAATGGCGAAAGCTATCAAATTAATGTTCTGGTATTTCGACCATAACTTTTGAACTACTGGTGGTATTGTAATAAAATTGGTGTCATATGAAAGCTAAGGAGTCTAGCTATTTCGATATCTGCTCATAAGTTTATAAGTCCGGCATACTTTATATGAAAAATAGTTTCTAACTATACCTTTGAAAATTACAACCCTAAATGGGAGCTTGAAATATAATTTGCCGATACCATAATAAAGACAAAATGCTGCCCTTTAATATGACACCTTGCTTGTATAAATCGAACCGGTGGTTAAAAAGTTACAGCCAGTAGAAGTCAAGTCAGAAGAAAGAATATTCGGGTGTTTTGGATCGGTCTTTTAAGGGTTTGGCCTGAAAGTATACTATAATTTTCTTTACAAACCAGCAGCTACAAAAACGAAAAACTTAACCATCTTAAAAAAATCCATTTTTGCTTGGTTTTTAATTTTCAGGTAACAGGTGCCCAGAACCGAACAGTAGGGGGTATTTCGAAAAATCGTTGAATTCAAATGCTAATAACTCAGCGAATACTTAACCGATTTTTGAAATTTTTGCACCAATCGTTCGAGAAATTTCCAAAGTTTTATTGACACGGTGACAGCTCATAATAAACTTAGGTAATATAAGGGAAAATTAGCATTATGTGGTGCGCACGATAAAACTTGTAGGGAGTTGCCGATTTCATCCAACTTTTGCACATCGTAATATTTCTTTGAACCTTAAATCAAGTTCGAAGATGGGTATTACGTTTTCTATAGGAAATCTTCAATTCCGCCTGGCTGAATTGGGATTTCTATAGGAAATCTTCAATTCAGCCCAGCTGAATTAGGATTTCTTTGGGAAATCTTCAATTCAGCCTGGCTGAATTAGGATTTCTAAAGGAAATCTTTAATTCAGCCTGGCTGAATTTGGATTTCTATAGGAAATCTTCAATTCAGACGGGCTGAATTACGTTTTCTATAGGAAATCTTCAATCTTCAATTCAGCCCAGCTGAATTATGATTTCTATAGGAAATCTTCAATTCAGTCCAGCTGAATTTTGATTTCTATAGGAAATCTTCAACTCAGCCTGGCTGAATTACGATTTTTATATGAAAATCTTCAATTCAGCCTGGCTGAATTAGGATTTCTATAGGAAATCTTCAGTTCAGCCTGGCTGAATTATGATTTCTATAGGAAATCTTCAATTGAGCTTGGCTGAATTACGATTTCTATAGGAAATCTTTAATTCAGCCTTGCTGAATTAGGATTTCTATAAAAAATCTTCAATTCAGCCTGGCTGAATTAGGATTTCTATAGGAAGTCTTCAATTCAGCCTGGCTGAATTAGGATTTCTATAGGAAATCTTCAATTCAGCTTGGCTGAATTAGGATTTCTATAGGAAATCTTCAATTCAGCCTGGCTGAATTACGGTTTCTATATCTTCAATTCAGCCTGGCTGAATTAGGATTTCTATAGGAAAACTTCAATTCAGCCTTTCTGAATTACGGTTTCTATAGGAAATCTTCAATTCAGCTTGGCTGAATTAGGTTTCTATAGGAAATCTTTAACTTAGCCTGTCTGAATTAGGATTTCTTAAGAAAAACATCAATTCAGCCTGGCTGAATTATGATTTCTATAGGAAATCTTCAATTCAGCCTGGCTGAATTAGGATTTCCATAGGATATCTTCAATTCAGCCTGGCTGAATTATGATTTCTATAGGAAATCTTCAATTCAGCCTGGCTGAATTACAGTTTCTATAGGAAATCTTCAATTCAGCCTGGCTGAATTACGGTTTCTATAGGAAATCTTCAATTCAGCCTGGCTGAATTATGATTTCTATAGGAAATCTTCAATTCATTGTGGCTGAATTACGGTTTCTATAGGAAATCTTCAATTCAGCCTGGCTGAATTAGGATTTTTATTGGAAAATCTGAATTCTTGTTTACTTACCATTGAAGAAATAAATAAAAAATCTCATTTTTATATGTTTTTGTTTTGGAATTTTATTTATTTTAAAATATTTTTTATTAAAAATATACAAATTATATTTAAGAGAAAAAATTAAAATATTTACAAATTTTTTTATATATAAAAAAGGGGTACAAATGAAATTATAATAAAAAACGAAACGAATTTGTAAAAAAATTGGAAAAAAATGTTATTGGTCTTTTCAGTCATAAAAAAATAATGTTGAGTTATTGTAAAAAAAATTTTTAAAAAAATTGTAAAATTTGTATTTGGTTTTTTGAGTTTTAATTTTTTGGAATTTCGAAAATTTTATTTTTTTGCATTGAAAATTGTCGTCTTGTTTATCGTTTTAGAAACTTTAATACCAATTACCTTATCGATTTAACGATATTGTGGAAGTTTCGTTTTTTTAAGAAGAGGGAAAAAAATAAATTAAAATTTTT